CCCCGTAACAGTAACAGTAGTTTAACCGCCTCAGAATAATTTTGTATACGAATTATCCGAACACTGTTCATTCCGGACAAAAATGATGAGATAGTGGGTTTGGTTTAGACTTAAGACAGGATACCCTGTATAGTATTACAGCGAGTCGGACAAGTCTAAGCCTTAATTACTTACTTACGTATGGGATGCCTTATTTATTTGTTTAACTATGTAACTAACTCGACGCTCACTGTGTAGTCTTTGCTATATGTGTCACTAACGACCGTTAAAATCTCGGATCAAAGCCGCGCCACCTGTTACTGCCGGCAGGGGTTGTCCAGTTCATTAACCTTCAATCAAAATGTACAATCAGAATGTCGAACTCTTTTTGATAGGAGACGTGATAGTGATATTAGCATGATGTTATGTATCTTGTGAGGGATACACATTCATCATCAAATGACCATTTTCATACCAGATTTCCTAATCAGCCCCGAGGGTGAAAGTTGATACGCTACGTGCCGGGTAGGATATAGAAATGATCGAATTTCAAAATCATTAGCAATAACAAAATTTGAATGTAAAAGAGGCGTAATTTTCTTAAAAGGTGTTAATATGGCACGTCCTGGGGCAGTTATCGCGTGTGTCGGGGATAAATCACGAACAAAGGTATATAAAAATGAAGAAAATAAAAGATAATTCCTCTACGCCCCTACACTATAGTTTATTGCCACTAGGGTCATATATAGACTCTGGATACACTGTCTGCCAGTAGCTTATCGAATGATCTGACTCATTCATCACACGATGGTCAATGGCTTACGGTTAACCCGTTTGTCCAGTTGTCCATTTTAAACAATCTATTTTATATCGTAGATGATTACAGATAGCGATTTGTGCTTTAAAAAAAAAGTCTTCAATAAAATACACAAAGATCATTTTGAACCAGTTTCTAAAACACAGACGAGTCTTGGGTGGTACATTCTGGACATGCTCTCGAGCGCCCGGGATTAGTTCTCGGGCGCTTAACTCATTATCTCGACTGCTCGACATACCTCTACATAACAAAACTAGTATGAATCGATTCATACGTAAAGTCTAAGTCGAACGCTTGACTTCTTATTTCCAGCGCTCGAGATGTTACAGTGTATGTCAAGCGACCGAGCTAGTTAGTCGAGAGCTCGAGATGTTATGTCGAGCAATCGAGATGATAATTCGAGAGTTCGAGAAATTGTGTCGAGATATCGAGATAATAAGACGAAGCTGGAGATGTTACGTCGAGCGATCGAGATAATAAGTCGAGAGTTCGAGAAATTATGTCGAGATATCGAGATGATAAGACGAAGCTGGAGATGTTACGTCGAGCGATCAAGATAATAAGTCGAGAGTTCGAGAAATTATGTCGAGATATCGAGATAATAAGACGAAGCTGGAGATGTTACGTCGAATGATCGAGATAATATGTCGAGAGCTGGAGAAGTTATTTCGAGCATTTGAGATAATAAGTCGAGCGCTCGAACGATCGATATAATTTTTGTAGAAGGTGATATTGTACATGGCTGAAATGTACCACCGTACGAGGTTTCCTTTGTTTGTGATGAACCAAGACGGCGTAATTGTCTACCCCATTCACACAATACTTTGAATAGACAGTGACAATCTAGTTCTCGACTTATATTTAAGTACGGTGAGCCTGTTTTGTTGTGTATTCAAAAACTAGTAAGTTTAGATATAGCGGCGGTGACGATGTATACACAGTACAGTGGTGTCGGTTTCATGTACACAGAAATCATTTAAAAATAACTATCTGCTTGTATATCATAAAATGTGACACCTGCAATATTATTGAAATGACTGGTTTAGGATTGTATTTTACGACAGCGTTCAATTCTTACAATGCTAGACATTGCTAGCCCACAGGGACCTGATAATGTGTTACAGCTATATTTGGACCTAAAATAAGGTGTTCAGAGTAGTTTTCCACGTTTCAAGGGTTTATATCAACTTTCGGTAAATATGTCACCCCATATGATGATCATGTACGAGAACCGAAAGTTGACCTACAAATGTAAACCCCTTAAACATGTAAAGTTACTCTTAACACCTTATTTTAGGTCCAAATATAGATGTAACAAATTCTCAGGTCCCTGTGTGCTACACCCAACACATATCTTACATGTAATGTGAAAAATATACTAACATGAAACTTGAGCCGCTGTATAATTTTATTTGTTTGAAAAAGTTGAATGTATTGAAACCATCAGAATAAGACACAACATTGTTTAACAATTCATCAATGCATTTGGGCTATACAAGACACAACACACTAGAAACTGTATTGCTGTCGTATATATATATATTGGGCCAATACGAGCTTGATGTTTAACTCCCGGCCATCCGGATCAAGGTAAATCAAGGTAAACCATATATAACATAAAACATTAGCTCTGAAGAGCTATTCTTACGTCAGAACAAAACATGTTATCTTGTCTTCAATTCTCAATAATGAATTATACAGTTTATGCTAGAAGCGTCAGAGCAACATCGTGTATGAGTGTAAGAGACAAGATGTACTCACGGAATTTGATGATCCCTCCGGACTGTTTACTTTTTCCGCCATTCCGCGAGCTCTGTGTATCCGACATACGCAGAAACTCCAGACACATCCTTGCGTAACAACTGCTCGCGCGCTGACGTGATACAGGTGGTGCACAGATCGATACCAGATTGATAGTCGCTGATCAGAAGTGATTGGAACTCCAAACGTCAGTAATGCACAACATGGCAGCCGGCATAATATTGTTGTTTAGGTTGTCAATGAACTTTAACCCCATGTGAAATAAACTTTCCTCACGTATACGGATACAAACAGACCAAACGTACAGGTGAGTTCAGGACTTAGTGTTAAACCAACCGTGACCGCTGGTAGTCAGACCTGGGCCCGTATTCATGAAACCGTTCTCATGCTCATGCATGGATTTTGTGCTCAAACCGAATTTCTCGTTCTTTTTATAAATTGATAATAAAATCTTATTTCGTCAATGTTTTGAAAAACAATTGAAGAGACTTGAAGCCAAATACTGTTTTCAATGTTTACTATTGACTTCTTGGTTGTTTGAAATGATTAAAGCGAGTTACAAAAAGTTAGTTTGAGCACAAATTTCATGCTTGAGCATAATAACGGCTTTCTGAATACGGGCCCCGTTGTGAATATACATTTCATTACATGGTAATGTGGCAGGTTTTCATACATATCATCACTATCGCCTTCCAGCTTTACATTTTCCCTTTTGGCTCAATCGGTAGAGGGGCGAACCAGGGAGCTAGGGTCGCTGGTTCGATACTCGGTTGAAGCGCATACTATGTATAGCTAGAATATATAGAATCAAACCCATTTCGAACCCCGGTCTGGCCGTGCATTTTTCCTTTCCTGTTACAGTGATGCCTGTGACCAACCCTTGTTTCATATATTGGATTCACGCTTGACAAGGGGATACCCGAACCTGGGGTGTAAATAGTTGTGTCTTCGGGGGCGAGGACTTAGAGCTAGGAGGGAGGAATGCAGTGGAACTGGAATGTTCTATTGCAGACCGTTCGTCTAGAGTCCGGAGGGTTCCGGGTTCGAACCCCGGTCTGGCCGAACATTTTTTGCTATCTCCTGTTACATGCATATATAGAACATATCGATCCACATCCGTTGCGAGCGCGGACATTTCTACACTGGAGAATTACCACTTTACAGTATCTAAGTATGTCTATTGGCTACCCAACACGGTGTGCTCGGCGAACTAGAACTGGAGGCAATCCTTGATACCCTACAGTGGTCCTCACCTGTCTGGGCAGCAACAGGTAAGTCACGGTTCATTGTTCACGGCTCACTAGCTACATGTAGACATTATATGTCACATACCCGTCTATGTATATATACCTGTGTGTCTATAACGTGGAAGTTAAGTATGGGTATACCACAGACATTTATTGTTATTAAGGATCATCCTGCCAATGCCTAAAATCATGTATGACTCAAGCGTTAACGTATCAAGCTTTCGCGTATCAATTTATCAAGCTTTCACGTATCAATTTATCAAGCTTTCACGTATCAAGCTTTCACGTATCAAGTTATCAAGCTTTCACTTATCAAGCTTTCACGTATCAGTTCTGAAAAGAAGATAACACTTTTCGGAAAAACCTATAGAGATGACATACACTAAAATGTAATTAACGTTCTAATTTAGCGTTCTGATTGATAACCAATCTGATTAAAATCATCTGTTACACATGCATGGCTTCGTTAACTTCGTATACGTACTACGCCTGTTCTGGCGGAGCCATGTAACAGAGGATTTTAATCAGATTGTGATTGATAACCAACCAGCGGGACTAGACAGGACCCCGTATTCATGAAACCATTCTCATTCTCAAGCATGGATTCTGTGATCAAGCCTAATTTCTTGTTCCGGTAATAAATTAACAGGGAAAAAAAATTGTTAATGTGGAAAAAATTTGAAGAGACTTGTTTTCAATGTTAACATTTGACTTTTTGATCATTTGGGGGTGTTACTCTATAAACCACAGTGCAGTTAGACAGGGACCCCAATTAAAGAATAGAATAAAAGTGTTTTATAGGATTCTGAATAACGCTGAATAATTTAATCTTGCGTGTAACAAGCATTTTCATTGGCTTTAAAATCTATGTTGTCAGCCCATTACGTAAAATAATGACGTCGCCGTTTGTAACGTCGCCTTTGATTGGCTGATACAGCTGGCGTAATAATTTCTAAGAGAAAAGAGTCCATCAATAAAAGTGGATTTCCACAGGGATTGTGTAAAGTAGATTAAATTGTAAGGATCAACTTGAATATATTTTTCATGTTATGGAGCTATAACACAAAAAAATAGAGTGTACTCTCATCATTCGCGGTTTATTTAGAGTACACTCCGGTTTTTTGTGTTATAGCTCCATAACATGAAAAATATATTCAAGTTGATATTTTACCTGAATAGCCCAGGATCCTGTCCCCACCCATGGAGTCAATTGGTCATTACTTAACCATATCTACAATTGCTAGCTTGTACAAAGCGACATATACGATAGTGGATTTAGAATTGACCCTAGCGTCTGGCCTCACCCCTCGGGACTTAGTCACCTTTGAGACCCTAAACCTGACATAATATATACAATTGCTTAGCATGAAGATGTGTTCACATATGCTGACAAGATTGGCCCAGGGTTCTTGCCCTGTCCTTAAGACTTCTTTCGTCAAACTACTAGTTCATTGAGAATCTTTTGTCATGATTGCTAAAATATCCAGATGAGCGATAAGGCCCTCTGGGCCTCTTGTTATGTACAACATGTAATACAGTATGCACTAGCTGTTTAAAATTTATGCTAGTAATTTGAAGCAGCAAAATAAACAAAAATACTTTGCTTTTCCAGATTTTATATCGGTTCCCCTTACTCAATGGTGGTGTATGTATAGGACATCCGTCTTGAATTTCGAGAGGTAATAAATATTGTTATCGCAATGTTTAGTTCACCTGGCCCGAATGACTTTGACCCATATTCAAGGTCACAGGGTCAATTATGTTAAAAACTTTAAAACAACTTCTTCCGAATAACCAAACTGACTTGGGCGATGATATTAAGCCAGTAGCATGCTTGGATGAAGGGCTACCAAATTTGTTCAAATGAATGACTTTGACATATATTCAAGGTTACAAGGGTCAAATGAATTCATATGTATAACGAAAATGGCTTGGGTGATGAAAGTTAATCAGTATAATGAAGTGATGAAAAGATACGACATTTGTTTAAATGAATGACCTTCACCTATATACAAGGTAACATGGGTCAATTGTCGTAAATAAACCTGTAAAGAACTTCTGATTAACCCAACTGACTTGGGAGGTGATATTAAGTCAGTAACATGCTGGGTTAAAGGGCTACAAAGCTTTTTTCAATGAAATGGCCGTGACCTTAATTATTGAAAGTCATTAGGATAAAAAACGTCGAAAGCTTTAAAACGACTTCTTCCAAATAACTGAAATAGCTAGGGTAATTATATTTGGTCAGTAGTATTCTGGGTAAAGGGCTACATTTGTTCCTAGTTTGTTCAAATGAATGACCTACGATCATATTCAGGGTAGCAGTGATCAATTGTCGCATTTCGGCGCTCACAGCTAACATTCAACAAGTCTAGCACTGTCCAATCATGTACTCATTTACAGCTGAGTAGACTGGAACAAGCGGATTGAAATATCTTGCTCAAAGATGCAACACAGTGCCGTGACGTGACCCGAACCCGCAACCCTTCGATCACGACCCCGGCATCCTCCCACTAGACTACCGTGCTTCATAAGAAAAGCGGTAAGTAACTTTATACCTTTGAACAGAATTTAACGATTTTTTGACCAAAAACAAAACCAGGAAATTCATTTCCCAAAATTAATTACCCTGGAATTCAATGGGGAAATGTCGTAGCGTGAAATACTTATGTCACGTCACTGTATATTCCGTCTTTGCGTATTGCAGAGTTATCTTCTCTTGTGAGCAGGTATTGAACAAACAAATGACGTAACAATCAATATCTGCTCACAAGAGAAGATAACTCTGCAATACGTAAAGACGGAATATCAATGCATGAAATTACTCGCTTTAGGAAATAGTATCCAGATAGAACTCTTTATCTAAATTGATTAAAGGAATAGCAAAGTAAACAATATTTATAAGTCAGTGGAGTGTAAATACGGGTTAATATAATGTCGTACAGCTTAAGTCAGTCTACAAATTGTGTTTATTTGTTGGCCAAACTAGAAAGACATCAGCAATATTATGAAACTTACATGGTAGTTTCACGGTTTTGACGGACCACAGGGACATGATAATTTGTAACATCTAGATTTGTATTACATGACCATTTGTGTTACAACTATATCTGGACCTTAATTAAGGTGGGTGGAGTAATTGTACATGTTTAGGGAGGGGGGTCAATTTTCATTGGGGTTGGCTTTTATTTTTACCGAAAATTGATCTA